GTGTAAACTATGCGGTCTAATCAAAATTTCTCAATGTGTCATGTCAGGACTTTTGACCAAACTACAGCAACAATTGATGCAAGTAATTAGCCACGTTCGTGCACCATCTACAATCGAGACGTACCAACCTTATTGGCAGAGGTTTCGCACCTTCTGCACCAAAGTTAAGCTCGAGTTCCTGCCGGCAACCGACCTGACGCTAGCGCTGTATCTCATCCATGCGCTCAACAACAAAGCAACCCTCTCCGCGATCAACCTCACGTGTTCGGCAGTTGCCTTCGCCCACCGCATGACAGGAGAAACCTCCCCTACCGCCGGCCCATTCACCCTGCAAGTGCGGGAGTTCGCCAAGAGACACGGTCCCCGGCCTACACGGACCAAAGAGCCCATATCTCTCCATCAAGTGCACAACATGGCTCGTCCCTTCCTCGAATCATCAATTCCTGCGGAATACCAGAAAGGATTGATTCCTCTTCTCATGTTTTCGGCATTCTTGCGCTACTCCGACCTCGTCTCGCTCCAATGGAATGATGTACAGTTCGAGGAGAAGGCAATGTGGCTGCTCATCCCGCACTCCAAGACGGACCAGGAAGGGAAGGGTGTCTGGATCCCAGTGGCAGCAATTCCAGGCCCATACTGCCCGGTGAGGTGCACACGCAAATTCATACACCTCGCAGGCCTCACAAAGGTGCCACATGGACCGCTGATAAGGGTTTTCCCAAAAAACTCGCCAGCCACACCTAACGACAAATCGCCATCCTACGTCACGATCAGAAACTGGTGCCTCGCGGCCGGCAGGCAAGCTGGACTGGATGTCGCGCACATCGGAACTCACTCATTCCGCAAAGGCGCAGCTACTGCGGCGGCAAGCCTCGGAGTTCCTGACCGGCTCTTCAAACGCATGGGCCGATGGCGCAGCGACAGCGCGAAGGAGATGTACGTTACAATCGCGCAGGATCAGCTCATCTCCCTATCCACGCAACTGCAGGATCCTTCGACGGCTCCCTCACCCGCTACGCATCAGCAATCAATCGAACGGCACCGCCAGCCCCGACTGCACTTGCCTCAGAAGACCCATATGAAATGATAACGCTGCCTTTGCAAGCCAGCCTAAGTACACTTTCACAATATTATAATTTTTGAAAGTGTAATGAAATGTAACACTTTCTAAAATTTTGTATTGTGAAAAGGGGTACGTGGCCAACACAGCAAAGGTAGCGCCGAAGCGCTACTCACCCTCTTTTGCCTACAAAAGAGGGACGTGGGGACATTCGTCCCCACCCACGTTTTCATTTTCAAAATTGTAGTTCTCATTTCCCACCCGCCCACCCATTTGTGTATGCTGTTATGTAGACATATATAAGACGAGAACGATGTACTACTACCCATATGAAATGATAACGCTGCCTTTGCAAGTCAGCCTAAGTACACTTTCACAATATGTACATACCGTATACTAAGAGTCACTCTCTTGGCAAAGATTGGTTGACTGTCATATCGTCATGAGACTCCTGGCATAGAGTGGATGTACTGCTAAGGTTGCTAAAATCCAAACTAGTCGACAATGCTAGAACCTTCCAACCCAGCCCGTTTCATAACCTTGGTGTGCTCAAAGAGGCACTTCACCGTTCTGCTCAAAGAGGCACTTCACCGTTCTGCTCAGTCTCCGGAGATATTGAGGGGAGGGTCTGTCCTGTAGAGACGTGCTGCATCTCACCTCCATGGTGCCCGGGTTTTAAACCTTCTGGACAGACAGTAAAAAGGTAAAACCGCCGGGATTAGCCAGCCATTGTGGCGGGTGGTGTGAGGCTCACACTGTGAGCTGGTGGTGAATGGTGAAGTGAGCTGACCCGACATGGTGCACCTAGAACGAGGCAAACGGCAAATCCCAAGAAACTGACTTGTGTTCCTCTACATTGCCAAAAACAGACATCAGTGTAGAAAAAGCCCCCCAAAATGGTATAGTGTACATGAGAGACCAGTAATAAAACCTACCGTCATCGCCCGGATATAAGACATAAATGTCTTATCTCGTACACGGGCAAAAATGCTTGAGTTATCTTGTAAACGGGATGGTTTAGGGTGTCTTATAATTCTTATAAATGGAACAAATTTTAAGTTGACTGTAACACTTGCAAAGTGTGTAGAAAACACCCAGGGACCAGATTCATTGAAACAGGCCGACCTCGGTGGTGATGCAGCAAAGCTGCCACCGCTGGCAAGATTCCTCTGTGCTGGCAGCATCTAATGATGCTGCCAGCGTCGTTTTGCTGCCAGCAGCGCATGGCAGCTTCCAGAACGCTGCTGGCAGCACGTTGGCAGCGTCAGGCTGTCCTCTACGAGGAGATGCCTCGTAGAGGAGCGGCTCGGCACCTGTGGATGGGGCACTCTGGCTGGGGGGGGTAGTCGGGCTTTCACTTCATTTGGTGCTCATGGAGGTTGAATTCTCACCTCAACCTTGCTCTCGGCAGGCTCTCTAACCATGCGCAGCAAGGTACCCCTAGGCAAGTCCTCACCTCGTCCTCACGTGCAGGTGAATAACTACGGGCGAATTAACTCGCCCGGCGATGACATCCGCGTAGCCATGGCGAAGAACGCGAGCAAGGCGGGAAGTCCTACCGCCGCCTCCGGTGCGAGCTGTGACGGGGAAGACGGAGACGAAGCACACGGCGACGACGCCGAGGAGGATTGGCCGGAGAACGGCCACGATGACAGCGCTTCGTGCGACGAATTTGGTACTGCCGACATCGAGGAGGACGAATGGTGGAATCAGCCGGTCGGGAGCGACGACGAGGTGGAAGAGTGGCGGGCTGGTGATTCCGACAACGACGGAGGTGAAGATGCTGGCGGTGACAACGCGGAGGCACAGGAAGCGGCGGTGGATGCGAATGAGGCTGCCGACGAGGCGGCGGCGGAACTCGAGACAGAGGCGCCTGCGGATGCGGACGCGGTGGCGGAGGCGAACAAGGTGGCTGCGGATGCCGTCTTATTTGAGGGTGAGGGCGACGACGACGACCCGTGGAGCCTTGGGACAGACGACGACGTTCCGCTACTGAAGCGGAGGCTGTGCCATCGCCTACAGTCCACGACGAAGCGCGCACGCGTGGTGCTCTGTGACGACGACAGTCCCGGGGAGGAGCGTCGCCCCCTACTCACCGCTGCGGAGAAGGGAAAGGCAAAGGTCGTGGAAGCCCCTGCTAAGTCCCCTGCTAAGGCCCCTGCAAAGGCCCCTGCTCGTGGCCGCACAAGCAACAAGAAGCGCAAGGACGACGGAGACCCTGGATCCAGCAAGGGTGCGGCAAAGAAAAAGGCGAAGAAGGCGCCGAATCCTGACGACATCATCGTCAACGAGGCGTTGGGCAGCGACGATGAGTACGCGGCGGCGGCGGGCCCGATTCCCACGTTCCCTGAGAAGGAGGCGCCGAAGGACCCCACCCTCCATAATCCCAACACCCGCCCATCTTCCCCTCGCAGCAAAGACACTACGAAGAAGCGCCGCGGCTGGACCGTGCGTGAGAAGGTTAAGTGGGCGCGCCGCTATCAGGAGCTCGGCTCCTTGAAGAAGACTAGCTTGGAGTCAACCGCGAGCGTCGCCTGCATCAGACGCTGGTGCGCGGAGGCGGCTGCGGGCATCTACAAGGGCGTGGCTAACTGCCGCAAGCGGATGCACGGGGGGGGCCGCCACGCACACTACCCCGACATGGAGGCAGCGTTGTACCGCTACATCTGCCTTCAGCGCGCTAACGGGGTGGCCATCTCGGTGAAGGACACCCAAAATTGGAGCCGCGAGTGGATGAAGAAGCATTACCCCGGCAAGAACTGGAACGCGAGCTCTCACTGGAGCCAGCGTTTCCGTGACCGCTGGAACCTGGTGATGCGGGTGAAGACGAAGGTCGGACAACGTCTGTCGGCAGGTGCGTGGATAAGGAGTTCGTGCCGCGCACGGCCCATTGTATGCATGTCTTACCTTGCTCGTTGTCTAACCGTCCCTCGCTTCTGTTCCTGTCCCGTTTGCAGAGTGCGCGAAGGACTGCGAGTCCTTCTGGAAGTTCGTGCGCATCAACAGGGCGCGGCACAACATCGACCTGGCCCGTATCATCAACGCGGACCAGACGCCACTGTTCGTGGAGATGCCGGCCGAGAGGACGATCGAGCACCGTGGCGCGCGCTCGGTCCCAATCCGCACTGCAGGCTACCAAAAGACGCGCTTGACGGTGATGCTCGCGTGCACTGCATCCGGGGAGAAGCTGCGGCCGTGGGTGTGGTTCAAGATGAAGAACGTCCCCAACTGTGAGATTCCGGACGGTAAGCGCCATGACTTCAACCTTGCCCCTGCCTCATGAGCGTGCCCCACTGTGCTGATGTCTGTCTGTCCCTTGTGTGCCTGGCAGGAATCGTGGTCCAAGCACAGGACAACGGGTGGATGGACGAGAGCGCTGTGCAGACCTGGCTGTCCAAGGAGGTGCTTCCCCATCTGAACCCCCAGCGCGGCAAGAGCGCGAGGCGTGCGATGCTGGTGTTGGACTCCTACCGCGGCCACATCACCCAGACCATGCTTCAGTCGTACCGCACGCACAGCATCACTCCTGCAGTCATTCCAGCGGGTTGTACGAGCCAGATTCAACCCCTGGACGTCTCCATCAACCGGTGCTTCAAGGCTGCCGTGCGAGCGCGCTACGCCAGGTGGTTCATGCGTGAAGGGATTCACCTGAAGACGAAGAAGGGTGAGTTGGCTCTTCATTTTAAATTCCTGCTCTGTTTCGTGTCCTTGTCGTTAACATCTCGCTGCCGTGTCCTCTGTCCCACCCGCAGGGAACCTGCGGAGGCCTCCGCACCCCGTGGTGCTGCAGTGGATCGCGGAGGCTTGGGATCAAGTCCACAGGCAGATCATCATCGACGCGTTCCGCCACTGTGGGATCTCCAGCAAGCTGGACGGAACGGATAACCACCTGGTGATGTCTCACCTGCGCGCCAGGAGCACCACCGATGTCTCCGAGGACATGTCCCTCGGGGGGACCACAGGCGACAACACGCGCCTGCTTCGGAAGGCTCCAGAGGAGGAGGAGGAGGAGGAGGAGGAGGAGGAGGAGGAGGAGGAGGAGGAGGAGGAGGAGGAGGAGGAGGAGGAGGAGGAGGAGGAGGAGGAGGAGGAGGAGGAGGAGGAGGAGGAGGAGGCGATGCAGGCGGAGGGCGTGCGGATGGTGGCCGTGGCAACTGGCCTGGAGGTGCTGTACCAGGAGACCCCCAACTACCGCGGAGCAGCGGCCGAGGCTGACCGCATGATCGAGCCAAGAGAGACGGCTAGGCATGCCTGGCGAGTGCCAGACCTGGGCGTAGAGCCTGTTGCTAGTGCTGCAGAGGAGGCGGTTACTGAGGGGGGTTAGGTAGAAGTAGGGATTCATGAATGTATGGATGTACCCCCCTAAAGTAGTGTAGGCTCGTTTAGAAGACACCCCCTGTTTATAAGAAAACCCCTAAACCCCGGTTCTGATTATAAGACATATATGTCTTATCTCGTACACACAAATAGGTGTCGTATAAAAAGGCTTGCCTGTTTATAAGAGACACCCGTATAGTAGACAACCCCTGTCTACTATTCAACACTGTCTTATATCCGGGCGATGACGGTACCCTGCGTTTCATAAACTGAGAGGATCAGCATGCTCGTTATGTTAGCTTCAGCCTCTGAAAGCAGAGAGATAAGTACCTTAACCAAGCACTTATCTCTACAGTTGGCACACCCCACCCAACACCGCGCAGCTACACACCTTCCGAATTACTAGCTCACGTCACGGACCCCCACCCTCTAGGATCACTAGCTAGAAGCCTCACTTGGGGAATATTCACTATTACCGGTACACCTAACCATAAGGCACCTTGTGCTGTCTGTATCTATGCAACCTGCACAGCACTTGTCGCAACGCTTACTTTCTTTCCCTTGCCTTTCCTCCGAAGCTCTGCCTCAGCTTCGGGAGACAGGTACTGCCACCACAGCCTCGCACAGTCGAACCTCTTCTCCCCACACACTGACTTCACCTCCTCTCCTTCCCTCCTCTCCCTCTTCCCTCTCCACGGTTTAAATTTCCCGTTGAAATGTAAAATCTTGGCTGAATCCGCCCAGAAACTGACAAACGGCCGCTTCGGGGGCCGCCCGAGCCCAATCGTGGCTAGGTAATCCCGTTCCTTCTCGCCGAACCTGTCCCTTCCCAAGCCTCGGGTGTTCCAGATCCGGTCCAGCTTCTTATACCGGTCGTAAATCGTCAGCAGAAACGGCGGCTGCGACATGCCGAACTTATAAAGGGGATTGGGTGCGCGGCTAAATTCGGTCATCCACCACTCTATCGCACCGGAAACGTTACTTTGTAACCAGCGTTGCACATCCATGAGCAAGACTCCACGGTTGAAGACGCATGTGGTCCTGTCGAAAGGCCGTGAGGGCATCCATGGCTTGGAGGGGTCGTTTCTTGCCTGCGGTTTAACAAAAGCACAGGCAAAAGAGAATCTGATCAGGATTGTGGAGGACCATAGGCCGAGGATGAGAGATTACTGGGAGGTGTGCAATAATCCCAATACTGCCAAAGTAGGTTTTGAAGGTCCTCCACTGCTGCCACCTACCTGAACATCCACCTGATCATTTACCTGAATGGCCGCCAGCTGGTCAAAGTCAAAGTAAGTCTTGAAGGTCTGCATGTAGTCCTGCACTGCTTCCACCCACCTGAACTTTCATCTGAACATTCACCCGAGTATTCACCTGAATCGCTGCCAGCTGGTCGAAGTCAAAGTAGGTCTTGAAGGTCTGCATGCAGTCCTGCACTGCTGCCACTGGCCTCCCCTCCATATCCACGTCAGCCAGCTCTCCGATGTCCCCCTGTTGGGAATGAGGGCGAAAGGTAAGGAAAAAAAAACTCACAATTTTTGAGTCGACCCAGAAAGCCCCTCCATGTCCACGTCAGCCTCCTCTCCAATGTCCCCCTGGTTGGAATGAAGGCGAAACAGAAATAAAAAGGCACAAACTCATATTTTAAGTCGATTCAAAAGGCCGCCCCTCCATGTCCACGTCAGCCAGTTCTCCAATGTCTCCCTGGTTGGAATGAAGGCGAAACGAAAGCGTGAATAATACACCATAGTTGAATCGACACAAAAAAATCCCTCCAATGTTTGAGTCAGCCAGCTCTCTGATGCCGCCCTGGTTGGAAGAAAAGTGAAACAATTGTGAAATACACGCAAACAAGTGTCTTCAAGGTGGAAAGACCACACGAGGAGTACTCGCAAGGTACAAGGCGCCACGCGAAAGCCGCTCCTGGAAACTGGACGCTCCTGGAAACTGGACGCTCCTGGAAACTGGACGCTCCTGGAAACTGGACGCTCCTGGAAACTGGACGCTCCTGGAAACTGGACGCTCCTGGAAACTGGACGCTCCTGGAAACTGGACGCTCCTGGAAACTGGACGCTCCTGGAAACTGGACGCTCCTGGAAACTGGACGCTCCTGGAAACTGGACGCTCCTGGAAACTGGACGCTCCTGGAAACTGGACGCTCCTGGAAACTGGACGCTCCTGGAAACTGGACGCTCCTGGAAACTGGACGCTCCTGGAAACTGGACGCTCCTGGAAACTGGACGCTCCTGGAAACTGGACGCTCCTGGAAACTGGAGATGCATTGGTGCCTCCACCGTCTTTCTCCCCCCCCAACACCCACCCCGTTTTCCACACACCCCCACATCCTCATACAGCCTCATACCCTCCTCCCTCTCTCCACCCACCCCAACCACTGTTCCTCTCTGCCACTCACCACCACAACGACATCAGCGTCTAGATACACGATTCAGCGGAATTGCGGCGCCATTTGGGGGAGGTAGAAACCCAACTCTCTCTCACATCCCCTCTAACTTCCGCCCCTCCCCCCCTTCCCCCCCTCCCCCCCCTTCCCCCTCTCCCCCCTTCTCACTCACCACCACAACCACATCCGCGTCCAGATACACGATCCGGCGGAATTGCGGCGCCATCTGGGGGAGGTAGAACGGCAGGAAGTTGAAGATGGAGACCAGCTCCTTGCGCGCGCCGCTGCCCTCCTTGTACGTGATGAGCGCGCCGAGCTTCTCCCACCACCCCATCCCCATCGCCCCTGCCGCTCCCCCTGCTGTCGCTGCTCCTCCTGCTCCTGCTCCTCCGGCAGTTGTGGCAGCAGCGGGTGCAGCAGCAGTGGCAGCGGCAGCGCCGTTGGCAAGTGAGGGGCTGATGCTGCAGGGAAGGGAAGAAACAGAAGGGGAAGGGGGAGAGGAACAGAAGGAGGAGAAAACAGGGGGGAGAAGGCAGGGGGGAGAAGGCAGGGGGGAGAAGGCAGGGGGGAGAAGGCAGGGGGGAGACGGCAGGGGGGAGAGAGTTGAAGATGGAGACGAGCTCCTTGCTCGCGCCGCTGCCCTCCTTGTACGTGATAAGCGCGCCGAGCTTCTCCCACCACCCCATCCCGGTCGCGCCTTCCCCTTCTCCCCCTGCTGCCAGCTACGCCGTCTTCTGCTGCTCCTCCTGCTGCTGCTCCTGCTGCTGTTGCTCCAGCGGCGGCTGTAGCAGCAGCAGGTGCAGCAGCAGTGGCGGCAGTAGCGCCGCTGGCAACCGAGGGGCTGATGCTGCAGGGAGGGGGGGAAGCAAGCGGGGAAGGGGGGGACGACAGGGGGGAAGAGGGTTGAAGATGAAGACCAGCTCCTGGCGCGCGCCGAGCTTCCCCCACCACCCCATGCCCATCGCGCCTCCCTCTCCCCCTGCTGCCACTGCTACTCCTTCTGCTCCTCCTGCTGCTGCCCCTGCTGCTGTTGCTCCAGCGGCCGTTGTAGCAGCAGTGGCAGCAGTAGCGCCGTTGGCAAGCGAGGGGCTGATGCTGCAGGGGAGAGCAGAAACAGGCGGGGACGTGGGGGGGACAAGGGGAGTGGGGTGAGAGACAGGCGGCTACTCCAGCGGCTGCTGTCGCAGCAGCGGGCGCAGCAGCAGCGGCAGGAGAAGCGCCGTTGGCAAGCGAGGGGCTGATGCTGCAGGCGGGAGCAGAAACAGGCGGGGACGGGGGAGAGACAAGTGGGAGACGGGGTGAGGGATGGGGGGGAGGTGGTTGAGGGATAGGTGGGAGATGGGAGAGGAGAATGCCGCGATGAAGAACGACGGGAAGGGGCTCACCTCACAATCTCAAAGCGCGTGGACGGGAAGGCTGGGTGCAGAAGAATGCGGCACTCGCGGACGGCGCGTCATTACACTCACCTCACAATCTCGATGCGCGTGGACGGGAAGAGCGGCAGGAGTTTCTTCCGCATGGCGGCGACGTTTTTCTCCGGGACCACCAGGTGGAAATCCACGCGCCACGGCTCCCGCGCGTTCACGAGCGTCGAGTTGATCACCACGGCGATCGGCCGGAGGTCCGTCTCGTCCGTCGATACGAACACGTGGATGCCTTTATCCTCGTTAGTAGCAGCACCGGTACTGCTACTAGTACTCGCTGCTGTCACCTCAGTGCTACTCGGCTCGTTTCCTCCCGCATCCTTCGTCTCTTCGCCTGCTGCTGCTACGTCCGAAGCGCCTTTGCCTGTCACCGCGGCGGTGACGGCTGAGAGCTCCCTCTCCGCATCTGGCGCTGTCTCCCCGGCGGCTGACGTGTCCCCCGCTGACGGGTCACCACCACCGCTGTTTCCTGAACTCACGCTCGTCGCACCCCCGCCAGTGCTCCCGTTATTATCGGGAGCCGCAGGCTGCGAGTCTTTGAATCCATCTTCGCTTCGATGTGACTCTATCGAGGGTTCATTGGAAACGGGTGTGACTATATCGCTGCGTGTTCCCGTGCCGTCAGCAGAAGCATCAGATGTGGTCAAGGCGGCTTCATTCCCACCTCTACGGCCCAAACCCTCCCTCATAGCCACCACCGTTTGAGTCACATCCCTTTCAGCCGCTTCGACGGGGCGCGCTTCCCTGATACCGTCACCCCCCTCATCGAGCTCTACACGTCGTGTAGGAATCTGAGGAGAAACCGACGGTCCGGATTTCGTCTCGGGAGTTGATTCTTCAAGCTCAAACTGATCGCCTCCGGAGCTTGACACGTGGATTCGAAGCACCCTACCCTGCGATGACGGCGATTTGATCGTCAAGTGCCATACCGTGAAACCTTTTGGCTGGAGCGTAATAAATAGCGACACGCCTGCTATGGCGAGGAGCAAGACGGAAATTAGCAGCCACGAAGCGCGGAATACGGTGGCAATAGGCGAGATGGCGAACGTGGTATATCGGCGAGAATTAGAAGGCTCCTTTTTTAGGGATTCTAAGAGTTGGTCTAGACTCCCCATGTCCGCGTCGGATTCGACTCGATGCGACGAACCCCACCTGCCGAGGCGCTGCGACGGCAAAGTCGCCATTGTTCTTAGAAGACGGAAAGAGGCTAGGAAAGGCTGCCTGAAGCTGACTTCAGTGTTTTCGAGAGAGTGAGGTAGCTAACCTAACCTTCGCATTCCAACTAGAAACTCTCCTTACAGCTCTCCGAAGCTAACCTTCCGTCAGATGTCAAGAATTAGGGCTGAGCTCTCGCTGAAACTCGCAAGTTCTGCGACCAAAAAGGCTTAGTTGCCTTTTCTTTCACGAAAACCACAGACCCTTGTTTTGCTGTCAAGCACCGCAAGACAGGAAAGTGACGACTTTCCCAGTCCTTGTACTACGAATCGCACTACAAAAGACACAAAATGTCTGGTTGGTTGCGTCGTTGAATAAGGAGCATCTGAATTCCAAGGCTCCACCATCGGAAGAAAGTAAGGCCTG